TTATATATGTAGTTATATTAGTACATTTTTCTTACAAAAAGTCGTCATTTGGTTGAAGATATTGTGATTCAAAAGTTTTCATATAGTTGAAGCATTCACGATCCAAATATGATGATTTGAAGAAATGGGTTATGTCGCATCGATGGTAATTGTAATATGATTTTTTCTTTCAACCAAAACAAATGAAGCTTTTCTATTCTTTCTTTATATTCAGCTTCTCATTTAATCTTTATATGTGATTTGTGTGTATTACTAAATCTTGAATGTGACTCTCCAAACATTAATGTTTTGCTTGGCATATCTTTCTGATTCTTCTTTTTCAAGAAAAATATTTTGATTGCAGGTTAGTGAAGAATTGTCATCAAGTTTCTATGGTTGAATGGTGTTAAATGAAGAAAGAAGATTCATAAAATGGATATAGGTTTTTTTGTTTGAGCAAAGTTGACGAATATTAGTTTTTTCTTTTGATTTAAATGTATGTTTATGTAACATTTTTTATTTATATATTCAACCACCGAATGCTCTTATTTATTTTATTGTAGTTTTTCTATTTTGATTATGTTTTATGTTGGCTTATCCTACACAACATATTTAAAAGACAATATTTAAAAGATAACATAATTTTGAACATTTGATATGTAATTATGATAGACTTATCATGATATGTTCTTCATATGAAAATAATTTATCCATATTACTACGACAAGAATTACATATGTCATTTATGAAAAAATATATATATTATATGTGATTTGTTTAACATGTATATGCACCTATGTATGTTATAAATTTATAATTAAGTATCTTTATATTTAATAATTGAAGGGATTAAAATGATGCATCAAAATCAATTATTTAGAGGAATATAATAATAATAATAATAATAATAATAATAATAATAAATATACATTTCCAAGTACAACATTCATTTGAAACTCACACTACAACTCAAGAGTTTTCTAATTTATGTATATTTATTAGTTACAACTCAAGAGTTTTTAACTTATGATTATTAATTAGTAATCACTAATAACTTTTTATTTTCCTTTCTTTTATAAGGTTGTAAAGTTTTGCTCATTAAAAACATTAATGTATTTGAAGAAATTTGTGATTTAAATATAAAGAGTTAATATAAATGTTATAATAGATGTTTTAGTGTTTTTATGTTATTAAAAGTTATAGTGTTTATTTTTTATATTTTTTATTATTCGTTGTATATATATCTTTTTTAATACAAATGTTATAATATATGTTTTTCTATTTTTATGTTACTAAAAGTTGCAGTTCATATTTTTGTTCATACGTTTTGTTACCCGTTATATAATCATTCATTTGATATATAATTTACACAATTTTAAACGGTTTATAAAATTATCAAATGATTGTATATAGTACAATGACTTAAAAATTAAACTATAATGTTTAATAAAACTAATATGTTAACTATATGTTTGTTTTACTACTAACATTTTGTTTCAAAGTAGAAATATTAAATAATAATTTGGTAAAAATTATTATTTTAATTATATAATTTTATTCTCGCGCAACGCCCGGGGATTCGCAAGTATATATAGTTTGCACAAATCCATATGCCAAGTTAAGTTGTTTTATAATTGTTATGCATATAACTAATAAACAAGTTGCATCGTATGTTCTCGTATTGATGTTATATATCGAGGAAACAAAAGGCTATTATTATTTTTTTCACGTTTTCAAAATTATATTTTTATCGAGGAAACAAAATCATATTGATGTTATATATCGAGGAAACAACCGTAACATAGTATTTTTATCAAAGTTTTCTAGCGAAATTTTCTTTCATTTATTTGTTTTTTTATTATTTTGTTTACTTGAATGAGTAGATTACCGGAGAAATGGATGGTTATTTTTATTCTGTTGAGGATATTATTTTATTCAGTCCAAATTTTTCCATGAAAGTTGAAGTGTAGAGATTATTATACAAGTTAGGGACAATATTTTTAATTAAGTAGAAGTAGAAGGATTCGTTTTACAAAGTTAGTAGAAAAATACCTTTGTAGTCATGCACTTCTCCAACGGGCGGGCTTATGTCACATTTTCTTGCAACATTTAGCAATATTGAACTAAAAATTAAATAAAGATATTTATTTGTTGGATTATTCTTAATAATAATTTTTTAATATGATTGTATGTATGCCAAGAAGGAAATTATAGGTAATACGGTTTTGGATTTTCATGAGAAATTTGATTGTAATTTGTTGTTTACGCCAAAAATTAGTGATATAGGACTTTTTTTTAATGTTATGTTTGGAATTTGATATTAAATATAAAACTAAAAAATAAAAAAATAAAATAACTCTTAAAATGTATATAGGACTTATGAACTGAAGCCCTATAACTTTTCAAATATTTTTTAGTAATTATTTTAAATTGATTAATTAATATATTATAATTGCAAATTAAAACTTTTAATTTATATTTTAGTCTTTCACAACTTTTTAGTATAAATAAATGGTTTTTTTAATAATAATAATAAATGAAAGTATTAGAATAATAATAATAAATAAAAATATTGTATAGAATAATAATTACCCAACTTTTGAATAGATCTTTATTATATCATATTGTTCAAAATAATTATACTTTTATATATCAATTTAGCAAAATAATAATTATTTCATAACTATTATCAATAATATAATCATTTTCAATAACATGTATTTGTAAAAATTTTAACCGTATAATTTAACATGCGCAACGCATATTCGTCCATTATTATTCTTTGTAAAATTTAACTAAAAGTTCACTCAATCCTATATGTAAGTGGATGATTGTATTTCTTTTCTTTTTAAGAGATTTATATGCACAAATAATCCTTAAAAATTATAAAGAAAAAAGGAAAGGAGAAAAAAGATGTTATCGTGTGATTTGTATTCAAGTTTAAAGTTGTGATTTGTACCCTAAGTTTAAAGTGAAGAAAGAACCAAAGTAGCAGAAAGTTGTACTGTACAATCCGCCTATCCAACAAAACCCAATGGGCCCCACCTCCTTCTTTTTAAATCTTCTCGTGCCGTGTGAAAGATACCCCCCTTCCAATTCTCATGACGTCCAAACCTCTTCCCCACCTTAACCATTTTCAACCGTCCGATTGTTAAATCAACGGTTCAGATCTAATATGGAAACCAACATCTTACGCCTCCCCCTGCATTAACATTATCCTCACCACCCAAACTCATAAATTTTCCGCTTTTCAACGGCTTCACGGTTTTACAATTTTTATAAAATTCACCCATTAGTTTTCAGTATTACTGTTTTTACCCTCAGTTTTTAAAAAATATTAAATTTTACTATCTACGGCCCAACATTATCTGTAAATGGGGTAAAAAATTTGTGTTGTAAAGATCCACGTTTGAGTTGAAAAATATTGATTATAACCTTAATCATTTAATTTTCGTATTATGTTGTTTAAAATCTATTTAGTTAAACAGATTGAAATATTTAATCAAAACTCGTTTATTTCATTTTAGGTTCGTGTCGAGTTAGCAGATTTGTGAGTTAGACATTGGAAACTTATTGTGTTGAGTTGTATTTATATAAAAATGATTGAAAATCTCTTTAAAACTCGTCTATTTCGTGTCTGATTCATACCGTTTATTGGTTGTATTAGTTTTTATGAACTCTAACTATTTCTTATACTACTTTCGTATAATTTTATTAACCGAACACCAAATTTTGTATTAGGGAGGAGGGAGTCATTCCCTCTCAACCCACTGTCACATCAATTTTTGTCTCTTTTTTTTCTTTATTTTTCTCAACCCACAACACACGGAAATTCTATCTTTTTCAACCCACTCAATTAAAAAAATACAAAACAACCAAGGTACAAGTTTTAAAACACATGGTAAAAGAGAAAATGAGAGAGAGAAAGTAGAGAAAGATGATGAAGTGAGTTAGTGAAACCAATCAGCGGGAGTGATACCGGCGGTAACTCTATTGCTAATTAAGATTTTACCTTGATTCTTTTGTATTTTTTTTTAATTGAATGTGTTGAGTGGGTTCAAAAAGATAGGGTTTCCGTGTGTCGTGGGTTGGTAAAGATGAAGAAAAATAAAAGAGAAAAAGTGATGCGACAGTGGGTTCAGTGGGTTGGGAGGGAATGACTCCCTCCTCCGTTATATTATTCTTTTTTATATATTAGTTGGGTAAACTTTAATGCATATAATATTAGGTTTTTCAAATCTAAGTTTTAGCATTTTTAATTAATTTCAATATATGCTTAAATGAAGAATTTAATAACCGTTATTTATAACATTATATGATATATTATTTTAATATTAATTAATCATATATATTGAATTTATGTTTATGTCTCGATTTGTTTGAAAATTAAAATACATTAACATATTTAATAGAAACAAATACTTTACATATATATGTTACAACATTAATATAGTTTGTAGTGTTATTTTCATAACAAATATGTAAAGACATTTAGAGGTATTTTGAAACATACAAGTTAGAATATATATATATATATATATATATATATATATATATATATATATATATATATATATAATAGAAAAAGAAAAATCAAATATTGGAGAATATACAAAAAATTTCATATCATTTAGATATAGCCTATAATAACTATTGAAATTTCATACAAAAGATTCAAAGTTCAAACATCATTGCACATAGAAAATATCCATACTTTTTCGCAATTACATTTCATGTGGGTCTTGAAATGGGTTGATATGAACCGTTCAGACAGTGCAGTTTTATCATTTATACCTCCAGATGGTCGAGAAGTAAGTTTCACACACGAAACCTTGGATGCAGATCCAAAATATTACTAGTGTTCCGCAATTGATCTTTAAGGGTTCAAATGGGCAGTTTACCATTTTTCTTTTTTAGATATAAAATTTTATGGTTTTATCAACGTGATATTTCGAGTGAAGGAAAAGAAATACAAGTTAAGAAGAACAAATACAACTTTAATAAATTAAAAGTTACATTAAAGTCTCTTACTAATCGGTTACTAGAAAACCTAACGTACCAAACCGGGTGACTAACTAAACCCGGTTCATACAAATTCTAATTTCCTTTTTCTGTTTCCTAACTAGCTAACATTCCTGCTTCAAAAACTCTGAACCGGAAAAGGTAAACCGGGCTCGGCGGACTCCTTCTTCTGCCGCATTTCCAAAACTTTCCGGTGGTTGTTAGAGTGGACTTCGCTGGAGAAAGTTGGACTACACGCCGGTCTATATTCCGGCAAAAGTCGACCGGATTTGTAACGGACCCCACATGCATTACAAAGTGTTTTGGCGCCTAGCGGACCGGCTCTCCACTGTGGGGTTTTCTGTACGAGGCAATGACTGCAACGCCTAGGCTGTGAACCACCACCGGCGTCCGCCGCCGGTGGATGGGTTTTCCTCTTCTTCTGTCTCTTCACCGGCGGTTTCCCGAAAATTGACTCGGCGGTTTGAGCGGAGTCGTGGAAAAAGAGCCAAGGGTTTGAAGTACATGATGAAGAGGAGGAACTTGAAGTCGACGAATCAGTCAACGGCGTCGACCCGAGTGACCAAACCCGGCCGCCGGTTCGAGTTCGTTTGCTCCTTGCTTTTGTAAGAACCGGAGTCGTGAAGGAAGGTTTTACGTTTACGTTTACGGTTATGAAAGTTTCCGTTTCCGGCTCCGACTTCTTCTCTGGAAACTTCCCGGCGGGGCACGTTAAAGAGTAGCCGCCGGAGAATGAGTCGTCAACGAAATGAGAAACCCATTCAAGGTCTGCCACGTCATCCACCTGTAAAAGCAAAAAATCAAATTTTTAAACAAATATTCTTCTTTTAAGGAAAGAAAATGGTTTTGAATTTCTTGAAATTGTTACCGGAAGGCAAAGGTCGCTCTCCGGGATAGAGAAAGCATGGGTATGGCCGATATCGGCTTTTTTGACCGGAGAAATGGAAAGTGGTTTGTCGTTTTTGTTGTCGAGAAGGAGAACATGGGTATCATCGTTTTCTTCCTCGAAGTCACCGTCGTCGGAGAAGTCAAGAAGGCCATCAACGAAGAAGTCGTCGCCGGGGACACCAGTTATAGCGCAGAAATCGTCGGAAAAGGACTGTGGGTGGTGGTGGTTGTTTGGTTTAACAGCAATAAAACTGCTTTTCAAAGCCCCTTCTACACACTCCATAACTTCTTGTTGAACCTAAACATAAAAACCTTCAATTAACGAGAGAGAGAGAGATAGAGAGAGAGAGGGTTTAAGGAGAAGAGAAATTACCGGCGAATTGCAGGAAAAGAGAGGAGAATAATTGAAGATGTTAAGAAAAAGAAGATATGAGTAGTAGTAGTAGTGTCGTGGTGTGTTTGGTAAAGCATTGAATGTGAGAGAGAGAGAGAGAGAGAGAGAGAGAGAGAGAGAAGTGCTTTTCAAGTGTTAGTGCTTCACAAAAGTATCTCGTCGAGTGTATTTATTTTGTGAACCTCTTTTAACTTCAAATTTAAAAACCGGTATGCTTCTTGTTTGGCACCTTTTGAATCTATGGATGTAAAAATTAAGGACAATGCATAACAATATCACCAAACTAGGCCAGCATTTAAACATTTAATTAAAATAATAACTTTTAACAAACTTTAATTTATTATTTATATATGAAAATAATAACTTTTAACAAACTTTAATTTATTATTTATATATAAAAAATCAATGTTAGTAGCAAAACAAAACATACAGTTACCATGTTCGTTTTATGAACAATCATGGTTTTATGTCATTGGTTATTCTACTATAAATTGATAATTTTATAAACCGTTTTAAGTTGTGTAAATTTTATATCAAATGTATTAAGTTGAGTAGATTGTATAAAATTGCATGCTAATATCTAATATAACGAATAACAAATACTATGGAAAAAAACTACAACTTTTAATTATATAAAACCTCTACAACATCTACTATAAAATTTATATCAACAACACTTATTAAACCATTATAAATCATACAAAAATATATAAAAATCAACATACATTTGGTATACATAAACATTATTATCCCCTAAAACAAATCATGTTGTAATAACCATTGATGCGATAAAACTCATTTTTTCGACACTTCATATTTAAAATCACAAATCTCTTCTAACACATGATTTTTTCTATCACAACTTACTTGTATACTACTAATATAGTTATAATGTGTATAGATAAGAGGAAAATAAAAAGACATTACATATTAATAACCATATGTTAAAAACTCTTGAATGTGTAAATATTTAAATAATAACATGCATAAGTCTAATCTTTATATACAATTATAATAGCTCAAAATAATAATAAAAATATGATATAAAAATATGCTATATATATGTGTGTGTATATATATATATATATATATATATATATATATATATATATATATATATATATATATATATATGTACACAAGAAAACATTTTAGTCACCAATAACTTAGATAACCCATCTTCACTAAGTCTTCCTTACCTATTTTGCTTCTTGTCTTGATATTTTTGGAAAAGAGAAAGAAATCATCTTAAGTTATTTTCCAAACATAATGAAATAGTCTTCAGTTATTGTGCTCGGATCTGTTCATCATCGGTTAGTTGTCATACAATGAAGAAAATCATCTTCCGCTTATTTTTTTCATATATAAGACAATATTACATGTAAAAGAAAAATAATGTTAAAATGTTAAATAAAACAAATCAATGTTTTTGTTCGAAAGACGAACATACATAATATAAAAATAGACCTTGAAAAAAAAATTGTTTTCTTCACATAAATCATTTTGTTTGAAGCTTCCAATCTACCATACAATCACCCAAAAAATTATAAATCCTACCAAAATAATCTACCAATGTGAACTATATATATACCAAGATTAATCAATTAGTGTCATAAGTACCATTAAGTATAAAACTCTTAAATGGTAATTAAAAATCATTATGTGAATAATTCGATTATAGAAGATATATTATTAAAAGTCATCTACCATTGAAATGAATGTCCTTTATACCAAATTTTGTTTATCATTTATTACTTTTTCATAGGTGAACTTCAAATTAAAAATGAAAGGAACTTTTGCTAAAATACAAACTTACCTAAATTTTGAATTTCAAATTTAAATTTAGGGTGATGATACAAAAGGTTTATGTTGACTCATTCTTTTATAGAAGAGTAGATGGTTTAAGATTTATTTACCAAAATAATTATTCTTTTTATTTTCTTAAATAATTGACATTGCACATTTTTTTAGAAAAAATTGCAAGAATGATACTTCCGTCTAAAACAATTTTGATTTGCACCATTGGTCTAAAATGAGATCGTTTTGTGTTTTTATTCCTATCAACTTCGAAAATATTATTATCCCACTTTTATTTATAATTTATCTTTTTTAGGTTTATATTATTTGTTTTATAATGAAAAAAAATCATCCACCCCTCTCTATAAAAGCATGGACTCAAAGTCCTATCCATCACTCTCGAACAGCTTTCTCATCCGGAAGACCTAGTAGTTGTCGCCCCTTCTTGCTAGTAAATAAATATGTCTCATCGCATCCTTTCCCTTTCTGTTTCTCAAACCTTTTATCTTATTTTTCCTCTTCTATTCTGGTTGATCCTTTCCCCCCTCTATGTCCCACCTCATCCCATCGGACAACCATCCACCCACAACCCACATGCAAGAAAATTCAATTCTCTCTCTCTCTCTCTCTCTCTCTCTCTATATATATATATATATATATATATATATATATATATATATATATATGTGTGTGTGTGTGTGTGTATGTATTTGGGTGTGGATGTGGGTCTCTGTGTGTGTATCTATTGGGTTTCCTTCTCTGCCAAAGAAGTTCTAAACAACCACACATCTTCTCATGTTGATCAAACCCTACATCAGAGAGTGTGTAAGTATGTGTGTGTATGTGTCTTACATGTTTTCAAAATAACAATTCAATAAAAACCCAAATGCGGACGTTAAAAAAAACTTAATCGATTTTCTAGGTCTAAACTAGTATTAAATGGAAGAACAAGTGTAACATCCCAAAAATCAACCGTAAACTTTTTGAAAATCAGAGTATATATTTCACTAAAAGGATTCATTCATAATCATTAACAGGTCATAAGATTATCTTTTCAAGTCATACCCACGTAATCATAGTAAAAATGTGAAAGCTGATTTCTGTCTCGGAAATCATAACATAACATAGAATGGATAAACTATATGTCATGCCCCTCCGAGAATGTCCAGATATCCCAATCATGTCAGCTCCTTTCCCTTCAAACCCGAAGGACATGCAACTAGAAACATAAAGTAGCAACTAGTGAGTAATCACAACACTCACCCATTACACAGATCATTTGCATTTCACATCATATCACGTAAACATCAACTAGTATTTTATCATATATCATCAACTAGTAATCACATATAACTGAACACATAACATATGCTAGCACATATAAACCCAGCTAACTAGATTCCCTCCGAGAGGTCTATCTATTATTGACCTAATATTTACCACTTCCATCCGAGAGGTCTATTATGGTCTTGACCACTTCCATCCGAGAGGTTTATCATGGACTTACATCCTTTTTAAATCAACTAGATTCCATGTGAGAGGTCTATCTTAGTTGACATACTCATAACATATAGTCCTTATAATAAGTAAATTTATGAGAATTCATATGAATGACTAATAAGATAATCCACACAGTGAGCTAAGTGGTACCGATACTGCCTCGAACCACTACACAATAATTAACCCTAATTTAATAATTAAAGTATAATACCTAACTTTCATCTCTAAAGAAGTCTTTATCTTTCTAATCCCCATCTTACAGAAAAATATCATTTTGCCCTTAATCAATGATCTAAGACATACCTTCACTAAAAATTGACTAAAAGTCAAACTAATTAAAAAGTCAACGCTCAGAAACGTCGTGTCAAACCCTTGGTCGTGTCGTTGTTTAGTCACGATAAAACAACTGTGGGACTTTCGTGTCCACCACGTTGTGGTCAGTCCTTGATCGCGTTGCGGTTCCTTTGGCAGAACAACACCTTCATTAAGCTCTTAATCCGTTAAGTCCAAGCCTCAAACTTTCCAAATGGCTTTAATATTATCTTATAGTCCACAAAAATCGAAACATTATGAGCCTGCATAACTCATGCAAGTATCACACCATTCTTGGTAAAAAATGGTGGAAATAAGGTCAAAACACATTTCATGGCATCACATGGAGTCTAAAAATCAGATCCATAACGCAATACTCTTATGGGACCTTATGAGATAAAAAGGTTGCAAACTTTAATCCATAGTTTTCCAAAACTCCATCAATTTCTCATGAAAGTGACCAAAAATAGACTTAAATCCCTAAATCTACGGAGTAAAAAGCATAAAAATGAGTCTTGATGACTTACAAAAGTCCAAAAGGAGCTAATACATCAACACCACTAACACAAGGCACACAACAAGCTCCAAGTGGTTGATTATTTCCTACTAAAGCTCTAAAATCACCAAAACACAAGAGATTCGGGGGATGAGAGGCTTAGGGAGGCTAGGGTTCGATCCTGGAACATGGAGGCTGAAGGATGGAAAAAAATTTAGGGCTAGGATTCCTTAAACAGGGTCCAAGGCCCGAGATCTAGGGTTTTAAACCCAACCGCCACTTAATGACGTAGTCGCGCCGTGGACAACAAGAAATCGCGTCGCAATGTAACCCTGAAATCCTTATTCTTAAAACCCCAAAGTCTTTAGTAGAGAACGAATGTTACAATTCTCCTCCATTTATCTAGATTTAGTCCTTGAAATTCGTCTCGGTTATAATGATGAAAAAAAATCCTAAAATCAAATCCTTCATGCTTTTTCTGAAACTATTTACTGAATTGGCGTATCAAAAAAGGAGTTCCCGAGACTACTCGGAAACTAAACAACATCGTCATTCAAATCATACTATTTAAACTGTCACATCCCGTAATAATCACTTTTTCTACTACTGACGGCTCCTTCAATGATCTTGTCAAACCACGCAAACAGGAATTCCCAACACCGTAACCCCAAAATACTTAAACAATAAACCTCCCCAGAACGGGAACACGTCGTTCTAAAACCTCGAAAATCATACCTTAATTTTGTCGATCAACATTCAATATTACATATTAGTTAATCCCTCCTCCGACGAGGAATGTCCCAACTTACAGTGAAACAAGTATCCGAAAACATTTCGACCAATCAACTTAACAAATTCCCAAATCTAAAGACCATGCCCAAAATGGATTCTAGTGCTCACTTGACTTTCTGACAAGTCATCACTATACCACTGGTCTCAAAAGTATAAAAAATAGTGAGCCATAATCTTTTGTCATATCTAAACTCTTGTTAT